TCTGACCTGAAAAGCCCAGTACTTGCCCAGGTCCAAAGATTTTATCGCATCATCTTACATCAGCTGGAGAAACAAAGGAGGTGAGGGAATGAAAATAACAGTAATAGCACAATGTGCACAATCTCAGGGTCCTTGTATACACACTGTTATTAGAAATAAATATCTGGTCGCTCCAGCTTCTCCTCATATTAACCAATAATAACAGGTTCGTGTCTTGCAAAAGAAAACAGTGGTACTCTTGAGAAGTTTCTATATTTTTCCACATAATGTGAAAGAAAACACAATTGTGAGAAAAGATTTGCCAACAAAGCACAAAAATGCAGTTACAGTGTCAATCACTTAACACTGCCTTAGATAAAAACACACAGTGTAATGAGAAGCATAAAATGCTAAGTGTATATTACACGTATGAATATGGTCAAAGAAAGCAGCATAGACTTGATGGCAACCCAGATTTGTATGTATACAAAAGGTACAGGTATATTTTTATTCTGTTTGTATTTTGGGGAGCAACCCCCCCTCTTACCTTGAATATGAAGAGATATTTCTTCCTTAGACCAAACCACCAGATCATTTTGGATAGGTATACATTTACAAAATGTGTGAATTCTACCATCTGGAGAATTTTTACTGAAGTAAGCCATGTCAGTCAGACAGTACATGTTATTAAGGGTATGCATTCAGTTAGTGGTTTTCGACCTATAGAGCTCCCAAGTTCATTATAAAATTAAAGTTGAGGTTCTCCTGAGATCTGTTTTAAAACTGAATAATAATAAATGCTTGAGCCACTGGCATAACCGATATATGTTTCTATAGGTACAAAAGAAGAGAAAATTAAAAAGGGATTTTTTTTTCCCTCTCTAACAGAGCAGAAAGGAAACCAGGCATCTTTCCCATGCTGAACATCCACATTCTCATTACTATGAGTAACAGCGAAAGCAGAGTAACATTCAGTAGCATTAGCAATAAGCCTCAGAATCACAGAACCATTTGCCTCTGACTTAATTAGTTTCTTCTGTAAGAATTAAATTGTATTTTCCTCACAGAAGAATGTCTTTCTGAATTTCATTGCAGTCTGGTATTAATATTCAAATCCGACAACCCCTCTCAGGCACAGCAGAATGACTCCATTTATTTTACCACAAGAAAACACAATGCAGCTCCCCAAGTGTATATTTTCAGTGGGAGAGGGGAAGGATGGCTAGCTATTTACAAATGAGCCAGAAAACAATATTGTAATATTAAATTCCATAGCAACATTAATGATTACAACAAACATGAAGGAAACATGCTAAGGTACAGCCTCTGGTGAAACAATTTGCCCCCTTTTTTTTGCACCTTTGCCCATCTGAACAGCTACAGTTCACCTGTGAGTTAGGGCTATGCATTCAGGTCAATCCCTGAATCACCCAGATCAGTTAAAACCTGTGGCAGTGATTCCCAACTTATGTACCATGAGGCCACAAGATGTGATGCACAATGACCCAAAGACCACATGAGGCCCCACAAGTCTGAAGCAGTTGCGTTTTTCCTCCATGAACTGCCACGCAATGCCACTGCCTTTTCCTTGGCATGCAATTTGACATGTTTAGTCTATTCTTCACACAACAGGCCTTGCTACTACTCAACGGCTCATAAAAAAAGAAAATAATTCAGGTAGGATTTGCCCCACACTGAACATAGTAATGAAACCTTAACATCTGGACAGTCTTTGCCAACCATTCTGTAGCTTCCCCCGCGATGTAAAACGTGTTTGTTTTGCCTTTCTGCAAGTTACTTTCTGGCTATTACAATAGAAAGGAAACATGGGACAGCTGAACATAGACATTGCATTTAGTGTGCCAAACCATCACCTTGTCCTCATGAGCCCTCATCAAATATGTCTGCTATTTGGTTTTAATAAATGGTGTTTCATGGTAAGATACATACAGAACAGGACTCAAGATTGAAACCGATCACTAATTACCAATTTCTCCAGAAGTCACTGCCTATTAGTGACTGTTTTCCTGCTCTTCTGAAGAGACTAAAAGATGTCAAACATAACTACCACTCTTTCTCAAACATAACTACTATTCATTTGAAAGAGGAATTTGACACAGGGTATCATGGCAAAGTCCAGTAGAAAGAGGAATCCCTTATTTCATCCCGGAATGCGTAGGCACATAATAGCTTCACGCCCCTGTTACAGGTGAGATTGAAAAGCGTTATTTTCAAGCTAACCAAAGAAAACAGAAAATCTGTAAGAAAAAGGAACAACCTTGGCTCACAGAATAAAGTTGTTATAACAAAATACTATCATCAACACATAATTCAAGATGGTTTGGACCTAATTTTCAGGATGCACGGCACTGAGCCAGGGAAAATCTGTCATTTAATGGTTGGCTGCCCACAGCATGCACAAGTGAATTATACCAATGCTTCAGTGCACTTGCTAAGTGCTCACCCCGAAAAAACGTTGGAACACTTTTATTTGAGAACGTGAATTACAGGTCTAATACAAGAGCTACAAAACAACAGCAAAACTTAAAAGTCAGGGTCCTGTGACATTAGGCAGACTAACTGGCAGGCCTCAGGGAATGGGACTATTGCACTCCATAAACATCCAAGCCTTCAGGTGTCATTGCAAGCTTTGGTTGTGAGGAAAAAGAGCGACAGCCATACAGACTTATATTACAACTTTCAAGGTGCAGATACTAGACAGACTCATACACATTATCAACTTGTTCAGTACCGCCTCCAGAAATAAAATACAGCATGAACTCAGAACAGGTACTCTCAAAGTATGAGGATGAAAAAGTGACACCTTTGTCACTACGAAACCCAATTTCTACCCAGACTCCGAAATGTTTGATATCTAGGATTACAGAAGGAAGTCTTAGGACTTCAGTTATCAAACTGCCCTGCTTCTAATGTGTTCAGCTAAATTCATTTATCAAATACAAGTTGTATTCTGACATTAAGGCTGTGGCAATGATAAACTTGGAAGTAATTTAGGGACTGCTTCTCTGCAAAGCACAGATATAAAAGAAACCACTCAATGAACACGTTGCTGGTATCGTAGTTTTTGTTTGAACTAAATCTTGGACTAAATTCAGGAATTCAACTGCTAGAAGACAGACTATATGTTTGCTAGAGGTATATTACCCAGTCTTCGAAAATGGAAAAATACTGTGAGAATTTACAAATACATATGTTAGATGTTTCAAAAATGAAAGATAATTTTAAAAGCTATCATTAAAAAAAGGAAATACCTTATTCTAAACCTTTTTGTGCTCAAAATTTTAACGATAGTTAAAAATCAAGAACTTTGTGCCTTCTGGGAGTAGCCATTGTACTTCGCTGTTATCCACCACAGTTACTTTTAATTTTTTACCTTCGGAATGACTGACAAAACGTCCTACTACAGAAAAACCAACAAAGAGACAGACTCCCACACCCCACTATTTTCAGGAAGCATAGCACTAAAGCACTTACTTACTATTATTTCTTACTTATTTACTATTTCCCCAAGAAGGCCAGCATTTTATAGAATCTTTGGGTCATACCATACTTGATCTGACTCTTCCCCTACAGCAGAGTGTATTTTGTATTTGTAAACAGTGAAAAAGAATGACTGCTTTCAAGACATTAAATGATAACATTCACAGCCTTGTTTTTCTAGCAGGAGGTGGGGCATGGTAGCCATTTCAAAAGAAGCAGTTTTGGGTATGTCGGAACCATTGGGGCTGGAAGGGACCTCGGGAGGTCTCTAGTGTATCTGCAGGCTCAAAGCAGGGTCAAAACACAATCTCCACCAGGTCGCGCAAAAAGGGAAAATTTTTTAAGTAACCAAACAGATTAACTTATTTGAGTACCATAAACACTATTACATAATGGGTATTATTGATGATTATTTCAAAGCATCACTACAGGGCAAAATTTAGGTTGTTTAATTTTAAACTGTGCATTCCCAGATCAAGACGTTTTGGAATTGCTCTTAGGTTTATCTTTAGTTCTGAATTCCCAGAGGTTTTAGTATTTACCCCGTAAATGTTTTTTATTCTCAAATTACCGGTATCCGTTGTTATTCTTTTTATATGGATCTTAGAAATAATATTTACTTGAAAGATTTGTATGTATTTATAGGCACACACAAAGTAAAAGCATAAAAAACTATGAATGATAAGAAAATAAATAATAAAACTTTAAGAAGATGAGGAGGTGTTTCATGTTATAGTTGAAACGTATAAATGTAACTATGACAGATTTATTCAGACTATACTACATTGGAGTCTCTATGTCAAAAGTTTCCTATTGAATAGTTGTCACTGAGTATCTAGAGCCAGCCAAGAGGAGCCATTAGACACAATAGCTTAAGAGGAATTTAGACCAGATGACTCAGGCTTTTCATACTCACTGAATTGTATAATGTTATGAGCATTAAATAGGATGTATGACAGTCCCTAAGACTCCCATTTAACTAGAAAATTTAAAGGCTTTTTTTATGATGTTAAAATAATTACATTGATCACACAATCTGTTTTCATAACTAAGCAGTTGTGAAAATCTGAAGTTTACACTTACACTTAGAGGAACAGAACACTTGGGCAAATGAAAAGGCAGCACAGTAATTGTGAAGTACCTTGGATCTAAGTACCTTGATCTAAGCCAAACTTTTGCTTATTATTACTTCCAGCTTGTCAAATAAGGCTGTTATGAAAGGCTAAAAGATACTTTCAGAATGTTATTCTACCATTTATTTTAAAAATTCATGTGTTTACAAGCTATCGGTGTATTTAAAGATCCACTGTGTTAAGCTTGCAGCAATAATTAAAGGTTGCAATTAAGCTTGCACTCAATTTTTATTTAAAAATGGCAGATTTATAACTTTTAAAAATTGTTATCATTGTACTGCCTAACTCATGAATTTACTGACAGTGCCATAGAAAATATTGATGCAAGTACTATATTAATTATTTTACTTATGCTAGGTTTTATTTCATGGATAGAAAAAGTATTACCGTGAATTTCTTGTTGCAGTTATTTAAAGTTGTCTTCCTTTGACAGGAATACTGAGACACTTTGCTTACAACAAATGACGGCAATTCCGATTCAGGTATATTCAAAGGAGGAGACTGATCTTGTTCCTAACAAGAAAAAAAAAATGGGGATAAGGTTGGGGACACACCTGCCAAATAACTTAAGATACCAACAATACATTTCATGAGCCCAAAATACATACCTTTAAGTGTGGTAAGAGAATAATAGTGCTCCTATCATCTTCCTAGGAAAAACATTTCATTTCATAATTCATTTCATTAATTTAATTTCATGACAAGACCAGTTTATTTGGTGATTACAGGGGTTTTTCATTTTCTGCAATAAGTTCTTGCAGGGAGTTTTCAATGGCACTGTCATTTAAAAAAAAAAAAAAGAAAAAATCTCTCTACAGAATCACAGAATCACTAAGGTTGGAAAAGACCTTTAAGGTCATCAAGTCCAACCATCAAACCAACACCACCATGCCCACTAAACCATGTCCTGAAGTGAAAATCTACACATTTTTTGAACACTTCCAGTGATGGTGACTCCACCACCTCCCCTGGGCAGCCTGTTCCAATGCCTGACCACTCCCTCCGCAAAGAAATTTTGACAAGTCTCTCTCCTATTTCTCTTGTTATTGCAATAAGACTGAAAAATATACAAAGTTTTAAGAGTGGATAAGCTTAAAAGAACAGAGAATTTTCCCAGAAAACACTAGATGATTCAATATAAGATCAGGGGTGTTAGACCAAGGAGGGGAAAAGACAGACCAAAAAAAAAAAAAAAACCAAACCTCAAATAACTGAATTTTTCGATCTGCAGCTCAATTCAGTGGTGGAGGAAAAATGTTTGTACAATTTTAAAATAAACTTTTCCCCCCTCTTCCAGGTAAAACGGAAGAAAGCTTTTTTGGTTTCGATTTAATTCATTATGCTAAATGTTCTATTTTGGGGTCATTATAAAGCAAAGGAAACATTTACAAACAGCCGTTAAAGCATCATCTCCATGCTTTCATCCACCAGCCAGCATTCACCTCATGATGCAGTTTCTCACTCAGCCATTTCCATACATGCCGATCCAAATCGGACATCATTTTTAGGTGTTCACTGGAGCAAGGAAAAGCAGCCAGGTGCCAAAACTTAAATGCGAGTTTCCCAAGCACCAGGCACACTTCATGTTCATTTGCCTTTCACCTGATTTTGTTCCATGCAAAATCAACAAGGATCAACAAAAAAGCCTGTGGGCAGTCTCTGTAGCAGGGTGGGAAGGGAATTCTCCTGAGAGGTGGGATATGCAGAGTCACGTCCCCATTAGTAAAACAGGGTCCTGAGCACGAGTCCTCAACATGCGAGTGTCCTGACCAGTGAGCAACTGGAAAAAGACAACCTGGCACCAGTTTTTCTGCTGTTTTATATAAACCGCCCTTTAATTCCTTTGCTTTCATTGAAAGTGCCCAAATCAGAAATACTTTGGAAACACCCAGAATGTTCTCAGTATCTCTGTGTAGTGTTTGCTATTTGTCATTTTGTCTGAAAGCATTTCATAGATCTGTGAAAAGTGTATTGCATCGCGCTATCCAAAATCCACAGGGAAATGGTTCAACAGCAAGAAATATCACGAAGATACATGGGGGAAATTTTCACCCCAATAATGGAACGATGAGCCCTTTCTCCCCTGTATCTAAAGGCATGCAGACATAAAGCTAGCACCTGCACTAGGCAAACCTATAAATGTGTGTATGTGCCTTTACACACACACACCCCACACACACATAATTTTATGCTAAATTGCCTTTGTATTTGATACAGAGTAGTTAAATAATAGTATTCACACACACACAAAAAAAGGCATTTGCTTGCACAGCTGAAGGAGCAGTGAATTATATGGCAGTTTTCATAGCATACACTGAAAGAAAGGAAGCTATTTTATGTATCAGACCACTCTTGGGATTAATCGAAATGGGTTTCAGCCAGGATCAACAGCACTACTCATCCACTTTTGCACACATTCATGAATTATACTTCTAAATTGATTTTAAATCATATAAACAATGATTGATTACAGCTAATATACTGCTTGAAATGATAGTGCCAGCTGCAAAGGCTGTGAACAAACAGAATGTTACTGAATAGAATATATAATAAGGTAGTATCTTCATTAGGACATAGACACACAAAGAACAAGGGCCCTAGACATAGCATTAGTGGGCATTTGGATGAGAGCAAAATTAACGCAGAAACTCTGTGTGTTTAAAAGGGTGATAGACTGGCACATAAACACCCTGTTCCTGCCTTAGCAAAGGTATTTGAGCATTTTTCTTAATCAGCAATAGTTATGCTTTTAATTAACAATACTCTATTATATATAACAACAGGAGAAACTTCATCTAGAAATCAACAGCAAAAACATCTAGTAAACAGTAATTACTATAGTCTGGTTTTTAGGGAATACTATGATGCCTGCATGAGAGCTACAGAGATGCTCTCCTGTCATCAGCAGGACATAGAACAGGAATGATACTGCTTTTTGGTGGGAAGACCAGGTGTGATAAAAGCATTTGTACAGATTATGGGACAAACCTAAAATTTCATCCAGTAGCAATTACTGTGTGCAAGAGCAAGCAATGCTGCAAACTCACACTACCTCAGAACAATTTGTAGTACTGGGAAGAAACAACTATGGATATGAGAAAAATTGTAAGCATTAAAATTCCTTTTTTTTTCCCCCCCAGATAAATCCACCACGTTAAAATGAAATTATTGCACACTGCACAGGGGCAACCACTGAAAAATATCCAAATGTGTAGGCTATGTAACTGCTAGAGCTAGTCAGAGTTTGCACCGCACATCCAGGCTGCAGTTACAGTGAATGTCACTGCCACTCCTTCACAGTGACATTTTACACATGGCATAAACAGGAAAATCAGCCTGTACCACTAGCATCAGTTTGTACAGCAGAGAAGATTTTTTGCAGAATTAATCTTGCAGGGGACTCCTTTGCTCTTTGTCAAACTATTTTTTTAAATATACAGAGAAGTATAATGGCATAAGGAAATAAGAGAGAGAGAGAAAGCGGAGCAGCGGTGAATAAGGGGTGCAGATACTAGAGACTGTGTCAGGCCACATTATTCAACAGCCAGCAGCTTTGTAAAGTCCAGACAGCACTGATCAAATAATAAAGTCTGCTGATATCCAGCACTTTATGAAGAGAAGGCAGCCATTTTATAAGTTCCATATTATTTTCTGGGAAACTCTGACTGTCAGCATGAAGGATTTCTTCCATTAGTTAGAGCCTCTCTCTCTCGCGAGGCAACAGAGTGAGACGCTCCGGAAAATGTTAAGTACGAGTTGCCTGTCACATGACATGGCAAGGGATCAAAAGATGTGGTACTGCCTTTTCCTAATGTGGAGGGAAAGCCTTTGTTCAAGGAAATAAATCCCTCTTCCATTCTAAAAAAATACAACTAACTAACTAGCAGCTTTTGGGTTCTGACTGAGGAAGAGACACAGTCGCAGCACAGTTCCCAAGGCTGCTGAGGGTGCCAGCCCACTGATGGTTCTCTTCCTTTCTTTTCATCCCTCTGAAAGCTTCCTCTCTGCCTCTTTCTTTTCCATCACCCCAGAAACAGCACGACTTTCTGGCATGTGGGGGATACCCTCACACACATATTAATGTTCATGTCCTGCTATTGTCCAGAACACCCACGTCCTTTTGACGGGGAAGGTGTCTCTGGACAAAAGTATTCCTTTGCCAGAGAAAAATTTTGATTTCCCTTTAACGTGGATGTTTGGTTACCACACTTCCATAGCCTATTAAATTAAATGATGACTATTAACTATAAAAGTCAACTGTTACAGAATGAATCAATAGGAATTCAGACCACCTTAGATCTGGTCACTCAACCTTTTATACTCTATAAATCACTAACACCAGAGCATCTCTTGGATCATTTGCAACCACAGAAAGATGTACTTTAGTGACAACTGTAATTAATATGTTAGCTAATGATCTGTAACTCTGACTTTATTCCCCTTGTTTTGCATGGAGAAGGACATTTCTTTTTAGCAATACGTTAAAACAAATGAAGAACAACCTTCCAAATGGGCTTCTGTAAGATCTGAAAGATGAAATCTTACTGCAACTGATATTAAAGGGAATTTTACCACTAACCTACATGTAGATGAGATTTCACCCAAAACATTCCCCCACTGCAATCGGTTCCTTTTACCTCAAAGCCTTCATGATGTAGCCTGAGTTCAAGGTTTGTTAATTCACTTTCACATTTTACAAGACTGACATAATAAACCAAGTTTGTCTTCAGTGAAACTCCAATTAAATGACATTAAGTACAAGTTCAGTCTAGTACTTAAAAAAAAAAAATTAACCTTTACTTCAATCCTTCTGCATTTCTTAAGGCAGAAAAAAAAAAATCATGGTGACAAAATTATTTTTAAATTTGCGGAACTTCTAGAATTCTTTCTCTTCCTTACTTGTTTGCTTTACAAAAATGCTTGTTACTTCAGAGCCACTATATAATTAAGACTGGTCTTAACTAGATGCTTTAAAGTTAACAGTACAGCTGTCACTGGCTTGCTTATTGCACTTTATTAGCATGAAATCTTTACGTTTCGATAAAAACAGCAGCTCTTACTTGCAAAGCCAGTCTCAAAGTATAATAATGATCTGTCTCCTGACAGTGCTGCTACCTTTTTCAGCATTTCTGCTCCAGGAGTATTCCAAAAGGACTTTTACATATAAAAGAAAGCTAAGGTTGTTCAACTTGCAGTAGCCTTCTCATTGATTTAAAAAAAAAACAAACCACACACACAACATGCTTCAGCATCATTGGAGACATTTTGGAGAAAGACAAAGGCATTTCCTGTTTTGAAAGAAAAAAATAAATGAAAAGATATTTTCTGAGATCTCTGAACCTATAGGTCTTCCTGCACTGTTAAAATTAAGAATGTACATAAAGGGTAATTTGGCTTACTTTTAATCCTGATGTGAAACTCTCAAAGTTCACAGGATTTTGCTTGCCTTTTGGATTTATTTCTTGTTTAGAAAATTTTTTTGCATCACCAGTATTTATACTTTTATGACTTGTGTGCCTGTAAGATTATATAATACAATAGTTACAAGGTTTTCAACTTTTTCCTGTTTTGCGTTAATTTCTTTCTTCTATTCTCTCTCCAACAGATTTACTGAAAATGTTATGAATATACTGCAAAAATACTTCATTTGAAGGATTGCAGACATAAACACATATTCTGTCATGGAATTATGCCGAGTGCGAGAGCGGCAGCTCCAGCTGGTGTATTCACTCCTTCCCCCCGCAAAGTGTTATTAAACAGTAATTCTTATATGTAAAGCCCTGGAAAATAGTTTCTGGCAATGAAAGATGACTGAAAAAATGAATCAGGAGCTACAGTTTTTCTTGGGGAAGGGTGGTATTTATGAATCATCCTTCATAATCTAAACATCGGGATAAAGCAGCAGCAAGCAGCGCAACGTTGCTGTTCAGCATTCAGGCATCCTCTGCCTCGCAGGAAGGTCCACGCGGCAGATCCTGCCGGGTCCCCGTGTTCATGGGTCTCCCAGTTTTGCAGCGGGGTCACAGTTCACGCTGAGCCTAATCCAGACCCTCAGAAATCCGCAGGAACCCCTCACTTCACTTCAGAGCGCTTTAGATCAGACTCGCAATTCTCTCGAAGTAGGAATTAATTTCTTCACCAGTGCGTGTTAAATCCGTCACCGAGAGGCTTGAGCACGTGCACAACAAGGGAACAGGTTCATCCCGCTGCAGGGCAGGGGCTGTTCCATGGCCCCGCGGCACACGCTGTCATCAAGCTGTGCACAGCACGCGGGGGCATCGCTACCGCGCCCTCATCATCCACGGTCCGTACCGCGGGTATTGAGTATCACCAGTTCACACCATGCTCCAATTTGAGAAATTAGCACATAATTTTCTCAGATATAGATCAGAGGAAAATATGCCATCATCCACTGCTTCAAGGTCAAACACTATTCCCAAATAATCAGCCTGCTATTCACAACACCCTCTGACTTTCAGCTCCCAGTGAGAGATAATACAGCGTAATAAAAACTTTTTTTCTTAGCACAGTTTTGCTTGATGGTGCCAAGTTTGTAAATGCACGTCCGCAGACTGCGGCAGCCTTCATTTCGCAGGTCCTCCAAGAGTCTAGCCGTTAGCTGCTCACCTCTAAACACCAAAGGGTTTAATGCTTTTCTATTGCTTTGAATAGGCAAAGTATTCCATCAGGAGCCCATTAAAACACACCGCGCTCAGTGGGATATTTACCGTGATGTTGAATTATTTGTGGAAATACCACAAGTACCACAACAGCAGCAAATACTTCACTGATTAATATTCCCCCTTTAATAGCACCCATTTACATTTTTTTTGTTGGTTGTTGTTGTTGGTTTTTTGGTTTGTTGTTTGTTCCCCCTGCCCCAGAACGATATATATTACCAGTTTGTAACATGCGACACCATAGTAACACAGCATTACCAGACACTGATATAGAAGGCATGGAAGGTCCTTTTAAACTATTAAAGCTGTGTGAATTACTCACGTAAACTTTAGGGAAAAAAATGTTTTCAATTCAGACATTATATCACAGCACAAGTATACATGTTTTTAGCTTTAAAAAAAAAAAAAAATCACTCACAGTCATTCATTTTGAATGTCACTGAAGGATCTGTCTTACCGCGAGACGGTATTTCATTTCTGAATCAACTGGTCTTCCAGCTTCCATGCAGGCTGTGAACCAGGAGATATCCAATAGTTCAAACCCGGAGCTGTCGCCCACATCCTGCGTCCTCAGCCAGTCGAGCACCTCTGGGTAAGAGTTATTCTCAGCCACAATGTGAGTGACGGAGTCACTGTCAAGAAGTACACAGAGAGAAGTTTTCTTCTTTCCCTGAACCCAACTGTACACAGACACAGAGGCATTATTTCCAGATTCACTTACCACCCACTTCCTGAAAACTGTAGCATATATTGTACGTTAGGATGTGGGAAGCGGTTGTGTTTTCATATCACAACACATGTATTCCAGCCACTGAATCTACTTTGAGGAAAGACTTTAGCCTGGCAGCTCCTGTAAGGGCAGCATTTTCTTTATTTCGGCATCGTTTGCCTTCTGTAAGACACCACCCTATTACGCATTTTTTTGCGACTCTCAAAATATTTGGCGTGCACGAGCAGTACCATAATGAAAAGGGTGCTTTACGACACCTGACAGCCCTTTCCCAATATTCCTGATCAATGAATGAAAGCTTTACAGTGTTAAAAAGTCTGTTAACCATCATTCTTTAAGGCTTCACAACTAGTAATACCTTTTTGTAAATTTAACTTTTCTGTACTTAAACTCTTTACATATGGCATTGTCAAATGCTCATGACTTAAATCTTATGAATTATGCACTCCATCTAAAGACCACTTCGTTGCTACTAACAGGCCAGTCTCCTGCAAAATTAATATCTTAGTTTAGCAAATATAAAATTTACAGACTGAGTTATTGTTCAATAGATTTTATGGTGTATGTTGCTTAAAAAATATAGTAGCACAAAGTTCAGTACATTAAATTTGGGTTGATGTACTAGAATAACATTGGACTGAAAGACACATTTCTGCACCTTCCACGGGAAAATAATGGGCAGGGACAAAGTTATGTTTCAAGAAAAAATTACATACATACTTAGGATGATCTGTAAATTTCTACCTGACCTGCTGATGTTCCTCAGCAAGTTTAGAAACCTAACAACTTGGTAGGAAATTTTGAGCGATTCCTAGTACTTCCCCTCCATACACACCCCAGGAGGGTGCTGTCACCCACAAAGACAACAACAGATAAAGGAGGAAACTGTTCATTTTCATGAAACTTGTATGACCTCAGAACCTCTGAAATATATACCAAAATTAACTGATACCAGTCAACAGATTCCTAAACTTCTTGGGGAAAGGCACAGACAGACAGTATCATTATTTCTATAAAAGCTAAGTCAAATAAGCCTATAATTGGAACATAAATTGTCCTGATGGTAGCCACCTACATCTGCAAGCCTCCATAACCTCCTGCTAGCCCATGCTGGTGACAGGCTTGTGTGTATACAGTAAATTTCAAATGGACCAGACAGGTTGCTTTGCAGTCCTTCTGTAACATCTGGAGAAGTTAAGCCATCAACCTGTCCAAGCAGACAAGGCACCACTGGTAGAGACAGCTGGTTAGTATGGACTTTAAAGATGATGCATGCTAACTGTTAAAGGCAGACCGCACAACCTTTCAAACCAAACTACTTTCTAGAAGACCAACAAAACCCCTTGGCCTACCCCCATGACCCTGATTCATGCCAACAATCATTGATTTCATAAGATTGCCTATTCACAGTGACAAATACTGGAGTCACCCCATAGAAAACTGTTATCACATAACTGTCCAATGCATTAAGTGTACTATATTTCTAGAATATCAGAAATTCATTGAATGTACTATACTTTATAAATATGAAAACTGCCATGGTATACTATAATTTTTTTCTCTCCATATTGTGCAATTTGTAGAGCAGAGTCTATTGGAAAAAAGAATCCCAATTAATTTTAATCTAAAAGATTACAAATCTAGGCTAGGTGACTCTCCATGAAATAATATTGCGTTTATTATTATTTAACCCTGCTAGGTTCTACTTTAATTAAACTGTCACATCTTTACTTGACTCGGGGCGGGGGGGAAAAAAAATCAGTTAGACATAGAACTTCTGCTTCCTGTAGTTTATTCCACTTCATATAAAATATTCATATGTAATATATTTGTACCAAGCTGCAGATCTGGGAACTTTGCCATCGCTATGCTTGCAGCAGCAGTTTAGCTGCTGTGCACCGGTTTCCTCTGGTACCTGTACAGCTGTGCTTTTTTCTTGGCACAGAACGTAACAAATTTAGCATTTCCTCTGGCATTTTCCAAAACAAAAATCAACAGTTAAGTAGTTCTGTCTTATCCAGTAGCAGCTAAGGGGAAATTAAACATAACACCTGCCTTGCATACAACTTACAGCGAGTGAAATATTGGCAATAAATACGTGTGTCAAAGCAGCTGAGAAACCCTCTACTCAGTCCTCAACGGATTGTTAATGTAAGATTCAGAACAGCCCAGTTCATTTTTTTTTTCCCTGAGAATTCAATTAGTTTTGTATCAGACGCTAATTGCCTACTTCTGTTCAATACCTGCTTGAATCTTGCTTAACAAATTATTTCATCCTCCCTTCATCCTCAGGCTTTCAAAGTTGATGGAACTGAAAAATCTGTGGAAATGAGGTTTTATAGGGAGGACCCAGTTGTATGCTATCTGCATACAGATACAGAGAAATGATCAATACTTGGTTTTCTTCCAGCTTTTCAGAGAACCTACATAATGATGTAGCTTTCAGAAAACTGCATAATGATATAACTAGCACTCATGAAAAGCGCTGTTTGGAGGAAGGTGACTTCCTCCAAATTCACCCACCTTCAAAATGAGTTGATTTATTATAGAAACGCCATCGGTCAAATCTGCAGCTGGAGTATATCTGCACCTTGAAATACCATATATGTGGTATTTCATTCCTAGGTCTTCTCTCCAGTCCTCTTCCAGATTATACCAAAGTGTAAGCCAGTAACTTTGAAACTCACAGCAGTGTATTACTCATAGGAAGATCAAATATTAGAATTTCTGGAGAAATGCCTCCTTCCACCCTTCACATTTTCCATTCCTGCATATTTAACTTCTTTTCATTTCAGGAATTGATCATTAAGTTTATATTAATCTTAACCTTACTTTAAGGGGTTTATAAACAATGGCTGATTTAGATCAGCTGAAGACACGATTCATCGATTCCAGTGAGACTATACAAATGCGCAGAAGCACATCCCATGAAAAACGCTTGCCAGTTCACACCTTACATTTTTTACTTTCCTTGTGAGAAGCAGCACACTGAAAAATGCAGACACATTAAAATTGACAGACTTAAGATAAATTAGAACCACAGATTTTAGATGTAAAAAGTTAGAAATTTTGCTAACGTTTGTGTTCTGCCTGCTCTCTGCCCAGAACAAAGTGAACCATGCTTTAGGAACACCCGCTAAAATCCTGAAGCATCTTTACAGTGGGAAGAACAAAGTCTATCTACCAAACACATAGGCAAAAACTTCAACTACATGTATGACTGCATTCATTAAATCAGAATGCTTCAAGCAGCATTACCATGTGTTATTTTCACGCATACAAGCATTTTCCTACCTTAGCTCATTTTCTACTCTGAAACCTTTTCTTCTTGCCAGCTCCATCAAAAACGTTCTTCTGGTCATCCCCATCTTCCGCTGCATAATAAAAATGACAAACTTATTGAACTTTATTTCATAACTGCAGGAAAGTTTTGGAGAATGCTTCCCTTTCTGTCTCTTCCTCTGGGAGGATACAGCTGGAGCTCTGATCCTATCCATGATGCAAGTGTGATAAATGATTTAGTCCCAACCAGGATTCCAATATAAGTTTACAATTTATTAAACAGAGGCAAGCAAACAGCGTTGGGTGCGCCGGGACCCTCCGCTCCACCAAGACACACGCGGTACAGTTCCTGTTCTTGGTTTATATCCTGTCTGCTAATACATATTCATGAATAGGCGTCTCTTCTTCGGCGCATGCCCTCTTCTCCTTCTAGAGTCTTCTCAAATCTTCCTCAGCGTGATCCAGGATGACCCCAAACTTTATGCATGCACTTTACAAGTTTCTCTTTACAAGTTTCTCTTTACAAAATACTATGCGGTCAGTGGTCAAACTGGTTTGAGCTGATATACCAGCAAAGTAGTTTACTCGAATCTCCTGTAAAATACCCCTTTTTATGGTGCAGGAGAAATCCATAAAAGTACAGAAGATTACACTACATCACACAAATCAGATGAACATATTTCACACAAGGTAGAATTGTTTTCACTTGGGAAAAAGGGAGATAACATGCTTTCTGCCAGGCAGCAGCTGTATTTATTGTCACCACCCATTGAAGTAATTTTCTTCTGTTTCCCCTTTGAAATCAAAAACAGGTGCTACGCAAGCAGAACTACCACTACCACTACTCCAGACAGGTGTAAATATGCTTTCGTTCCTTAAAACAGCCACTACCTGTAAAGACATTATCCAAAGAATATTCATCATAGCAAAATTATCTCAAAACATCACCAGGTCTTCAGCTGGTTTAATGGCATAGTTCCATCAATTTCTGCTTTCAGACCTTTTCCAAATCTCACTTTTCCAAATTGTAAAGCACATTAATATTCAATTGATTACAAAAGAATAAAATTCTTCCTCCTGTTAGCTAGGAACTATGTCTTAGAATACAACTAAATAAAAGTATACAAATATCTAGTAGATTAACCTGTACACTTGTTAATTCTGTGTAATTAATTTGATTAAGAGGGGATTCTTTTTTTTAAGAGAGCAAAAAAATACAAGCTTTTGAAATTAAATTTACAAAAGAAATACTTTGCTGTTTTGATACTAAAGCAATGAAAGACAAAGAGAAAGCATTAGAGATGTGTTTAAATATACCTTTGGCATGCATTGTCAGCATTGCTTCCTACTATTTGCCCTGGAATATTCTGCTACCTGTGGCAGGTACAGTAGGGAAAAGGTAACTACCTTCCTGCTTTTGAGCACCAAGGGACCTCTAAAAACTACAGACAAGAGTCTACGTACCATTGCTCTCCTCCTTGGTCATCCCAGAACTAGGCTAAAATTGTTGCAGACATTGTGTTGGATCAAGGTAGTTATCACCCTGAATTTCCATCAGAGCAAAGTGAGTGCAACCAACCAGGTTTATAGTAAGTGCATCTATTTCAGCACCAATCTAAATATCCCCATTTCCATGTCAAGTTGGATTTTTATCTTTAGTGTAGCAGAGAATTTGGATTCTACCAGTCCTTCAGAATGTGTCAGAAATGTGATATCTTGCAATTCTCATTGCTCATGTTCAGAAGAGGAAGCAAGGTGGAAAATCCTGCTTAATTCAGATCTATCAATTTTATTTTCAGTCATTTATCACAGATGGATATACAACCTGAGTTATGGAAAAATGAGGCAAAACATGTTTCCTGCAATTATGGCCATGAGTTTAAAATTAAATTATAAAAGTATTACTGACATTTTCCCAGCCCTATAGCTCTTGCTGCTTCAACTGTATCATCACAGATATAAAAAAACAATTTCAATCAGAATAGAAACTAACCATCAAAAATTAATATAGAGCTTTCAGCTCTGGGGTCTTCCTAAGGCCATGAAGAAAATATATACAAAGTTCAGTACATGGACTAGACTCCATTCATTTCTTCCCTTGCCTAAGGATAACCCAGGAGCTAAAATATCAATTCCTTTTTCTGATTCATAACATCAAAATTGTTGAAATAAGTAATTTCAAGGTTGTTTTGAAATTATACAAGCTGTTTTCATGGGGACTGGAAAATGGACAAGCAGACAAGAAGACCTGAAGAGGCTTAAGCAAAAGAATAGCAACAAGGAAGAAAAAAAATTGATAGTGATGGGTCTGGCATTAAGGTTCAGCAATCTGTTTTGGTTGCTCCATGTCTGTTTTCCAGACTACTGATCAACCATTGAACACTGGCCATCTCCCCGTTTACAACCTTCCTAGGCTTGGTAAAACACTTTGTCTCAAGCCATATAAGGAATAATGTATTTGAGAACAGATTCTTTACATATGTTAAACAAAGTCCTATTTTATGTTACAATTAATTCAGTGCTCTCAAACATGTAAATATAATTTCCCCCAGTGTAACATCAATATGCTCAGTGCCAGTAAAACCCTTCTGGCATGAAAAACACAAGTTATTATTCCTTTGTGTTACTGTAATAACTCTCGAGACAGATTTTCGAGGGTATTTAGGTGCCAAAAAGCTGCAAACAGAGGCCTGGTTAGATTTGCAAAATATCTAAGCAACATAGGCACCCAGCCCCTTTGGAAATCAGTTCCTGGCTTTGAACCTAATGCAAAGAGATTTTCTCTGTCTAATAAACATAGTATAATATCATGAAAAGGTCTCTGCCAGTGATGCAATTTTATTAAACATACCTTCTAAAATTAACAGGATTTCTATATCCCAGATGAGTAAATAACCTACTCTCCTAGAACATTACATTATAATATTTTTGACAGTAATACAGAAAGTAAAATATGGATTAGGGAGAGAGCAAATGCAGTGGAGAAAAAACATGTCTCGTATTTATGACAAAGGAGAAGTATCCTGTTATCTGAGTCATGACACTACATATATCTTACTCTCCACCACATACGATTAGTGGCCTAAAACCGCAGAAAGTTGCAGAAATTTTTCCATCTCGGTACAGCCCTGTGGAGTTCAGAGTAGTTCAAGTCCCTAGAGGGAAATCTAGAACAAATTTCCACGTTCTGCTGTTCTTGCTGTGGATCAGTTTTGCGCGCTATCAAAGGCGGAGATTAAGAACAAGATGTACACAAGTGTCAATGGGCATTTAAGTAAATGCCTTTCATCACTTGTGATGTCTGTGCCAACAGCAGCATCCCAAGCAGTCCTCAAGCCTGTACAGAGCTCAGCCTGAACCCCCGAGTACTGATCGGGCTTCAAAGAGGGTTTACGTTGGGAAGAAAAGTGCAGGAACACACAATTTCTGGAAAGCACAGTTCAGCTCCTCTGAATTTCAGTATTCACACATGTTTTCACTGCACGTTCTTGATTATTGTCAGATAGTCTTTCAGTACCCTGCTTTCGTGTGAACTGCATTGTAAATATTTTATAAAATGTTACTTGCCCATTTTATGTATCTTTCCTATGAAGAGTCAAGAGCGGTGAAAGGTGCTTTTAATACACAGCTGCACTATGCTAACCTTCAGAGAAAGCACCTCTCAAGCACCGTCAATAAAAACTAGGGAACTGGTTGGATACCTTTTTTTAATTTCACATAGGCTTAGCAGCGTTTCACACAGTATTGTTTCATAAGGATTTGTTTTCCTCAGCTTTTTCATTTTAAGGTCTTTGGTAATTCAGCATTTTCCAATTAAAACTTCCATGGAAATGTTAAAATTTTTATCCTTCTGATATTTGTTTTTGTACAGGTATTGTCATGACTTTGCTTTTGCTTCAGTTCTGGCCTCCTTGGCTGTTAAGCATTCCCTTTGCTGTTGATACCTACTCTACCAATCTCCCAAAGCCTAAAAATAATATGGCAGGCATTTTTCCCAGTTTTAGTAAAAATTTTGTGGAATCCAATTATATTTTCAAATTAATTTATTACATAGAACTTTTCTATATTTGTATGAATTCACTTAGCCAAGGCACAAACTTGAAGGACGTACGTATACCAAAACATAAAATATTTAATAACTTTTTTGTGAATTTTTATCTCCTACAAACAAATACAGACTTTCTTTTCATCTTTTTATTTATTTGTTTTACTACAATCTTCTGCTTCACTTGTCACCAGGGAGCTATATGGAGTCATGAAGGCCTCAAGTTTCTGTCCTTAATTCCATATTATGTGGGAAGTTTTCATTATTGTTTAGTAGATAATCAACAAGCTTAACAATATCTTATAATCCCATTGGAAAAAAGCGGTAAGTATCCGGAATTCCTGGACACTGCTACCTGCACCAGCAAGTCTTGTTTGAACATACGTTGCAGGAATCTATTTCTTTAGTCCCTAACTTTTTCACATATACTAAAATATAAATTCTTACAAAATGAGCATGGTAAATCAATCTGGCTAACCTATAAAATAAAGAAACAGAATCATGCTGTTACATTTGATTACAGTGTTTTGAATAAATGTACTATTCTTCGAGATAAGGAAATGTTGAAAAGCGTATTCTGGAAATGTTCAGATAAATTTAAAAATCAATTCTCCTTCATCTCCTTTGGTGATTATATTCTTTGAACTAACAAACATTTGAACATTTGAACATTTTCAGGGGGCAACTTTGAAGTATACATGCTTGAGTTATACACATCAAAGACAATAAACTCTATAAAATACCCAGATGACCAAGAATTTTGAAAAACTGATGAATTGATAATATGCTTTGAATGTGTTTACTTGGCTGTGCCATGGTATTTGGCATGTAAGATAAAGTAGGCTTAGAGGACACAAAATCTTGTAGTTGCTGTCATCAAATGTACATTTCTAATGTATGTGGTCAGAATAACTGCTATTATCTTTTTTTCCCCCCAAATTGGAGATGAAAACCTGAGTAAGAAGGATGTATTTAGCAACATCTCTCAAAAACTATCCATGTAGAAATCATACCAAGAGCTGACAGCTTCTTTAACTGATTGTATACACAGCTATTCTAGAAATGGTTTGCTCTTGTAAGTCCTTTCTGAGGAAACTAGGGAAGAGCGATATCATGGTGCTGAATAACAAAATAGAGCAATCGGGTTCCCCCTTGCAGTATGGGCAAAAG